AATTCTATAATACTAGCTAGATAAGGAATAGTAATCTTGATAAAGCGGATATATCTTTTAATACTATCTCTACCTATTAGTAAAAACACCTCTACTAAGTATATAAACGTATAATCTAAAGTACTTAATTAGCGGAATTCGAGCTAATTAATATACCGGACCCCCCTTATCTATAGAAGACGAACTTACCCCTTACCTACGATATTAATAATCTAATTGCCTTCTTCGAGCTCTTCTTTCCTAATTATATAACCTAATAGCTCGTAGATAATACTAATAAATATACAGAATAGGTACTTATTAGAAATAATAGTAAATACTATATAAAACGTTAAAGTCGATAGTACGAATATAATATGTAAGAAATTAAAATTTATATTATAATCCTACTCTTTATAGGTATTAGAAGGAACGTACGAATAGTAGACTTTTAGGAAGAACCTATAATAAACTCGCCGGTTTTCTATATAACCTAGAATTAATATAAGGATATGTAAATATTCTTTAAGATTTCGGATATAAATAATAATAGGAACCTTCCTAGTAAATAGTAGTATTATAAGCTTTGTCCTCTTAATCTCTATATTATAGCCGTTTCATAAAAGGTTATAATCCCTAGGTTAAGAATATTATATAATAAAATTATTATTCTAGCCTTTAAATAAAGTATCTATTAAATAATAGTTCTAGGAAAGCCTTATTCTTATAGTCTAAAGAACTAGATACTTGGATATATAGGATATATATATAACGTATTATACTATTCTAGTAGATATAGTAAGTTACCTATTTTATTTATATTTTAGTAGTAGTATTATTAGAATATTTCGTACTATCTACCTTTAGTATTCTATAAGCCTTAGTACATATAAGCGCTATACCTAAAATAGCTAGCTACCGCGCTAAGTAAGGTTTTCCCTCTAATAAATAAGCTATAATAAGGTCTTAGTAGTAACTAATTAAGAACTTTAGGAATCTAAGATACCCTAGTATAATACTGTCACGAATCACATGCTCACGTGATACTTGTCATAATAAAGAGGCGCAACCCTCGACAGGCACATCCAGGTTTCTTATAGCAAATAGGGATTGCTTAGGCCAGCCAAGCATCCATGGATTTCATTTGGTTGTTGTCACGTGATGGACCCCGATGGATCCAGTAGAACGAAGCATATCCTTATATTAATTCTAGGTTATATAGAAAACCGGCGAGTTTATTATAGGTTCTTCCTAAAAGTCTACTATTCGTACGTTCCTTCTAATACCTATAAAGAGTAGGATTATAATATAAATTTTAATTTCTTACATATTATATTCGTACTATCGACTTTAACGTTTTATATAGTATTTACTATTATTTCTAATAAGTACCTATTCTGTATATTTATTAGTATTATCTACGAGCTATTAGGTTATATAATTAGGAAAGAAGAGCTCGAAGAAGGCAATTAGATTATTAATATCGTAGGTAAGGGGTAAGTTCGTCTTCTATAGATAAGGGGGGTCCGGTATATTAATTAGCTCGAATTCCGCTAATTAAGTACTTTAGATTATACGTTTATATACTTAGTAGAGGTGTTTTTACTAATAGGTAGAGATAGTATTAAAAGATATATCCGCTTTATCAAGATTACTATTCCTTATCTAGCTAGTATTATAGAATTTCATATCCTTATATTAATTCTAGGTTATATAGAAAACCGGCGAGTTTATTATAGGTTCTTCCTAAAAGTCTACTATTCGTACGTTCCTTCTAATACCTATAAAGAGTAGGATTATAATATAAATTTTAATTTCTTACATATTATATTCGTACTATCGACTTTAACGTTTTATATAGTATTTACTATTATTTCTAATAAGTACCTATTCTGTATATTTATTAGTATTATCTACGAGCTATTAGGTTATATAATTAGGAAAGAAGAGCTCGAAGAAGGCAATTAGATTATTAATATCGTAGGTAAGGGGTAAGTTCGTCTTCTATAGATAAGGGGGGTCCGGTATATTAATTAGCTCGAATTCCGCTAATTAAGTACTTTAGATTATACGTTTATATACTTAGTAGAGGTGTTTTTACTAATAGGTAGAGATAGTATTAAAAGATATATCCGCTTTATCAAGATTACTATTCCTTATCTAGCTAGTATTATAGAATTACGCATATAATTATAAAATAATTTATTTTCAGATAATTGCCTAATTTACTAATTATATATAATTTATATATATTAGAAATAATTTAACAACCCCAGATTACTTAGAGAGTTAAGTTGAATCGCCATTTTGACCACTTAAGTTAAGTTAAGTAGGTCCCTACTTAACTCAACGAATTGAATTTCGAACGCTGGTTCTAAGCTATTAGTTTCAATGAGTTGTATATGTTAAGTCCAGCTTATTTATATGAGCTTAGTATGCGCTCTTGAACAAGGCTTCTGGACTCTGGAGGCATGATTCTATGCTATAGCTCGGCGGAAGACTTTCAACAGCTTGTCAATTGCAAGATCTTTGTTGAAATAGGCTGATCAGGTAGGTCTGTCTAAGTTTAGGAATTTAGAGGATTGCCTCGGGTGTGAGTCTCGTTACAGTCCTCGTTAGGTGTTTGGAATAGCTATTCCAACCTCTTTTGATGTTCCAGTCTTCGTCTTAACTCATGTCTGACTCGCGCGTTCCAATCCCATCTTAATGATAAGAGAAAGTCATTCCAGAACAAAAAGAAAACCAAATTACGAGTTCGCATTCGTGTTGAACTCTAATTTGTATGGTGCACCCTGAATGTAAGATTACATTCCGAGTTTTTGAGGGCCGAACAGGCCGTAGAACAGTGGGATAACATTCGAGCTTTGTATATTTGGGGGAGCGCTTCCGAGGACTCGGTTACACTCGTATCCTGGCCAAACGCTGCCTAAAGTGTCTGACCCTTTTTCCTGCTTTCAAACAGGGTACAATTAATGAGTATACTACCGAAGAGGTATGCTACCGAACGATTTCTACTCGTATAACATTGTAAACCTACTTTTAAAGTTTACCAGTATCCTGACCCAAGTACTATTCACCCTCCTTTTTAAAGGGTTATTTCGTTTATAGTAGGTATATTTATTAAGCCCTAGGAAAGCTTATTCTAGCCAATTGAAATTAAGCTAACTATAGTATAACATTAGTGATTAGTGAATTTGTTAGCCTACCAAACGAACTCGCTTGTCCTTTCGAAAGAGTGACAAGGTACTGTACGCGCAAGTATGTGAAAACACTACCTTGATTCCAGAGAGAGGAAAAAGTTCTTTGAGTGAGATTTGCCCTGGTATTCGGTCTGGTCACGGCCCTACTCGACCAAGTACCTTTATAAAAGCCAGTCCTTATAAAACACCGAGGGAGCCTCTTTGAGGCATCCAAATGTTTAACTTGGATGCGGAGATGGGACCTAGGTATAGAAAAAGTCACTTTCCTCTGTTCTCAACGCTCGGCACATATCTAGCTTGTAGTAAAAATAAATAAAACCATGAAACAAAAAGAGGCCGCAAGAGGATTTTTGAAAGAAGCACACAATTAGACCGCAATAAGCGTGCGGAATGAAGACGAACCGACTATTAGTTAGGAGGAGTAGAGAATTACTGACTCATTGGAAGATCACGCGTTGATAGCCAGAAAATGGTACTTGAAGATATGGCCCCTCGTTTACATAGTTCATTATTCAAAAGTAGGTGGACTTGAAAATCCATCTTGCCAACTGTTTCAGTACTAGGTAATTTCTTCCCCCATTATTGTGAAGAGGATTCGTAGAACGAGAGTGCACAAAATAACCAAGGAAACCGGATGGCTAATTTTTGGATGCAGGGACGATTCACACGGCTAGTGGCAGAACACACATCTGTTGTCGAGATTGTAGTACAGAATCTTTCTCAAAATAATGTGAAGCTAGAGGTGGATTCAATGTGACTGCCATAGCTCAATACTCACAACCCAGGACACAAAATTGAACAGGAACCTTTCTGGGTAGAACGAATCGGATAGCGGCCTTCTGAAGCAATTCTGCGATTTCTTGCTCAATTTCAATCGGCCTTTTTCCTAGGTAAGAGAATCCACGAATTCGCACGTCGTAAGGAGTATAGAGCACAAAGCTGCCACGTGGGCGTTCGGTCACTCCTACAGTATCTTTGACAACCATCACAGTTTGGAGATTTGGAAAGTTGGCGAGAAAGCGCTCAAGAAGTTCTTCGGGCAGGATGTCTGGATATCTCTCCAAAACCGCAAAATTGTCCTCAGGGGAGATAATCTCCAGAATCTGCGAGAAAATCAGCGACTCATAGGGAAGAGCCGGGTGCTCTACGGTGGCAGCAAAGTGCGGCGCAGCCGCTCCTAAACGGATCATCCATCTGAATAGCATTGTGATACGGAACTCGCTGTAAAGACCCGTATCCAGTGGGAAGAATAATACATCTTGTGGATTCCAATCTCTACAGTCAAGAGCATACTGAGAAGGGCAGCCTAGCAAATTATACCCCTCCATTGTACTTCTTCGCGCTTCTCGACAGGTATGTAGGAGGCTCAAAAACGATTCCAATTCTTCTTTGTATGCATCATACGCGTCATGCCGGCGAAGGCTGCAACTGAAGTACTCCTCAAACGCTGTTTCTTCTTGCTCCCCAGGTAGGCAATTGTGTATATCGGAATCATCACCCCCCAGAAGCCACCTGTAGGGAGGGTGGCCAGGGTCGAAGCTAGTGGTGAGTGATTGAGTACTACTCGTATCGTCTGAATCATCTTCTTCATTTGTGTCGTAGTGTCTTGCACAATATGCCATCTTGAAGTCTCGAGGAGAAATGAGGAGCGCTCTTGCGGGACGAGTAAGGTCGACGTTGGGGCAGATCCAGATGGCGCCGAGAATGGGACTGTGCTTGGTTTTGAAAACTGCCGACTCGGCCGCATATTTCCAGATCGCGTCTCGGATTTCGGCAGGGAGACGCGGAAATGGTTCGAAAGAGAGGGCTGGTGATGTAGATGTACTTGTAGACATAGCTGGGCTGCTCATCGTTGGCCTGCTGTCGGTTTGGTTGAGCGGGTGCTCACCCACGACAGATCCTGTAGGTAGATGAAGACACAGCCTGTGCAGTATTGGAGTATTGGAGCTAGACCAGACCTATACCTAGCTCTAGCCCTAGCCCTAAGTAGCAGTCCTCGTCAGTTGGCGGTTGTGGTGGGAACTTTCTGGCGCCTGCAGGTGGGTCTCGTGGGGTTTGAGGCTTGCGCCAAGGCAGAGCCGCCCCCTCGTGCCTCTTGCCAACCCCCCCTGCATCGCTTACCGGGGTCTTGTACTTGTCCATCTTATATATATCAAGATTCCGCAAAGAAACAGTTGGAAAAAAGAAAACGAAAAAAAATGTTCCCCCAGATCGGTCCAGTTGCGAAAGTGGTCAGCTAGACAAACGAACAAGCGATGCCCAACCCGCAGTAACTCATCCCCCTATTTCCCACGATAAGTCTGGAATATGCATATGACACGTTTGCGGCTTATCAAGTGTTGCTCGAAAGCGACAGTTCCTGTGCTATTCTACAATATCAAATTGTGGGTCGCGTATTGTGTGCTAAGATTATGCCTGCTAGCTTAAATTTACAGTACCTACTCACTACTCTCTTTTCTTATCAACATTGCCCTGAACGCCATCTCCAAACTACCCCCTTCAATCAAGTAACTCCAACAGCAACCTGTAAAACAAGTGCCTCAATATCTCGCATCTATTCTAAATTCATTAGAAGAAGAAAAAACCCCTTACGGTCTCGTTTGTATGAAAGGAACTGCATATCAGCATCAAGCACCAGTGAATCTATTGAGCTATGCATATACTGGTGCCCTCAATGGCTATGCCACCCTTAATGAAGGAAGAGCGAGAAGTCACTCCATATCACAAAAAATACAAGACATACTTTCCAGGCACAGTATGTATATAGCTTGGACACCCACCAAAATCGTCGGTATGGACATAGAAAAACCTTGATACTATGATACGAGCTATAAGGATAACCTTGGTTATATCGTTATAAATACTAGCAAAACCCATATCCTAGTATCAAGGTTTTTCTGTGCAAGTAAACAGAAGCTACCCCGGCATTTTTCATCCATAAATGGGATGAAGTACTACCCGTTTCATTCCTTCCAATATGATCCATCATATTTGCTGACTCCGGTAGTTTAGTGAATGGATAGCTGAAACAGTGACATACAGTAATTGTCTTGATACCAGTATTATCGTTGTCATTCAGTTTGGACTGTAACCTTATTTTCCCGTAATCTGAATTATAATTCTGCAAAGCATCTCCATGTCCATGAATGAAGAAATTGGCAATCTTACTTGATATTGGGAACCTTCCGAAGCGTGAAGAAAGCCGCCGGATATAAGCCTCACTCATTCTCGCTTCACAAAGGTACTTGATCCACGCTGGAGAAGCAAATATTGCTCGCCAGAAATCAAGTTTACGAGTCGTGGTGTGGACACTTCTTTTTCCTAACAAATTTACATAAAACAAACAATCCGAGTTTGCTTTGCTGCATTTCTGTACCTTTGCGGCGTTTGTGGCGTTGGGTGTGTGGTGGCACCACCGACCAATTCCATAAAATGATTCGAGAATTAGAAAACAGGCCCGACCGGGTAATGCTGTTTTGCAGAGAGTCCTCCTGTCTGCCCACTTAACGGAAGTCATTAGATTGCTATAATCGCTCGCAGACACGGCAAGATCTTGGCTTGAATGGATTGTCGGACCCCTCCTCGTGATGCAGAATCAAAGCGGCAGTAAAGAGAGCGTTTTCTGGTACCGATCCCATCGAGTGCTGCTTTTGCTTGTGGTGGCGAGACCGTTAAAGCATAACTATCATTGGTGCTACCCCAGATTCCGCTTATGAGAGTACCGGGTAGTGCTTGGTGCTTAGTGCTTATGCGGGGTAAGCCTATGCCCAGCAATTGGCCATGAGCTCGGCACGCTCCAAGCAATATACTTTTTTTGGGCATGGTGTTGTCCTTCTGGAAACTCTCTTCCCAGGCAACCAGTTTTGTATGTTCCACTGAGTCCACCAATAATGGAGACAGAGCTTGTACTTTCCGCAGCCTCAACATATTGCTATGCAGATCATCGTCGCGACTGTTGTGTAGTGTTGTACAGCCGGCATCTTGGCCATCATGGTGAAGAAGAGAATAAGTCGGGCGGAGATTGTATGACCTCGGTGTTTTGGTATATATTTATGATTGGTGCCTAGCTGCCAACTACCTGGAACGACCAGACGAAATTGTGACCTTTCCAGTACGAAATTGTAACTTACCAGACAAGGACTTGCTAGAGGTGAATGTACATGGGGAAATCGGCTGACCTCACGGGTGGACATGGCTACTACTACCTAAGCCTTGTACGCAGCTATAAGACCAAGGCTGGCTCCACCGCATAAGCGAAACGAGACCTCCAGACCACCCCGCGCTTTCTTCGCGAACATTTACAACTCCGCATCGAAGACATCAATCTCACACATTCTCAAACCGCCATTGGGCCTGGAATCTCTAGTCAGACATCATGTCCGAGCCCAGAAAAAACCATGATATTGGCGCTACGTACGTATTCATCTCGATCTGCGCGGCTACGCAGGTGAGGGGGAGTTGCTTGATCCAACTCTTGCTAATGCGCTCCATCCAGCACTGCCACTACAACTGGCGCCGATGTCTCCCCAGCGGAAAAACCCAAGGCTTCAATTGCAGGTGGTTCAACTCGTCACAAGAAAGACGTAGCAGCAATCAAAGAAAATACTACGGGAGAGTAAGTTGGCACCCACCACTCCGTTCATATGGCACATGACCTGGCTAACAATTTACAGAATTAGGAACCCTCTCGCCGGTATTCCCAAGGCCCAACTCCTGCAAGATGTTGATGAGTTTGCTGCTCAATATGGACTTGAAGACATCAAACATTGGATCATTAAGGGTGCTCTTGTAGCTCAGAGTCCACATTACATTGATAATATTGCAGAAATAGATGAGGAAGATCGACATGTTCTACACGAGGAGGTTTCCCATAAGTGGAAGCATCCTAGAACCTTATACGTGACCATCATTATGGTGAGTAGCTCCTTTCGTTTTCTTGATCCACTAGCTTATAGCCATCGACACCATCTTTGCTTTGACGATTTGTGTATAACGAAAAGGAAAGCAGTACTGATGCCTGACAGAACTCTATTGCCGCCGCTATTCAAGGATGGGACCAAACTGGTAAAAGCGCTTGATGGCATAGTGATTGGGAACGTACACTGATGTTCGGCAGGCTCTAACGGTGCAAATCTTACCTTTGGACTCGATCTTGGTATCCCTGACTCCCCTCGAGATGCTGCAAATCCCGGAGGCTGCATTTCGGCATCTGAATGCAATACGAACGCATGGCTTGTGGGTTTCGTCAATTCATGCCCCTACATTGCTATCTGTCTCTTGTAAGCTTACACCTACGACGTTCGTCTCTTGCGACGGACAGCCTTAAATGCACATTGTAGGCTGCTAAGATCTATGAAATAGTGCTGCCTGGATCTCCGACCCTATCAACAATTGGATCGGCCGTCGTGGTACTATCTTCGTTGCCGCTATATTCTCTGTTCTCGCTCCAATTGGTTCTGGACTTGTACAAACATGGGGACAATTGGTCGCTTGTAGAGTTTTGCTTGGACTAGGAATGGGTCTCAAGGAGGTTACGGTTCCAGTCTTCTCTGCTGAAGCAGCACCTACAAACATTCGTGGTGGATTGGTAATGTCGTGGCAAACATGGACAGGTAACTTCCCCCTTCTTAATTTATACTACGATTTTGAGACGTTGTTTTACCCCGAATTTGTCTTGAACCTCTATTATGACTAAACATGGAAATGCTGACTCTGACAGCTTTTGGAATTCTACTGGGGACATGCGCAAATTTGATTTTCGCCAATTCCGGTGCAATTGCCTGGCGTCTTCAAGTTGGTTCTGCTTTTGTTCCTGCCATTCCTCTTGTTATTGGTATCTGGTTTTGTCCTGAATCTCCTCGTTGGTTGATGAGAAAGCGTCGAGTTGCTCAGGCATACAAATCACTTCTTCGACTTCGTAATACGCCCTTACAAGCCGCTCGTGATCTTTATTACATCCATGCCCAACTTGTCTATGAGGACCTCCTCCTCGAGGAATCTGGACTAGCTAAGAGTGGAAACATGTTCACTCGATTCTTTGAGTTGTTCACTATTCCACGTCTCCGAAGAGCTACATGGGCTTCTGGTGTTGTTATGATCGGACAGCAGATGTGCGGAAGTGAGTATCTCTTTCCCGAAGATTCAGACGTAGTGCGGTCTAACTTTTGAATAGTCAATATCATTGCTTTCTACTCTTCCACAATTTTTAAGGAATCAGGAGCGAACAATGTTACAGCACTTCTCGCCTCGTTTGGTTTTGGTCTCGTCAAGTAAGTGAAGTCTAATCCAAGCCCGCTGAGATTATCTCATTTTTGTAAACTACGTCATTTAGAGCTTACATAAAATCAAACCGAAAGTTACTAATCTGTCTATAGTTTCGTATTCGCCTGGCCTGCAGTATGGACCATCGACACATTCGGTCGTCGCGGCCTCCTTCTATTCACATTCCCAAACATGTGCTGGACCCTACTCGCAGCTGGAATGAGCTATTACATCCCCAACGTAGGCAAAAGCCGTCTCGCCGTCATGTCCCTCTTCATTTACATCTACGACGCCTTCTATTCACCCGGCGAGGGACCCGTGCCCTTCACCTACTCTGCAGAAGTCTTCCCTCTCTCCCACCGAGAAATCGGCATGTCCTGGGCTGTCGCGACCAACAATTTCTGGGCCACCATCGTATCTCTGACCTTTCCGCGCCAACTCAAGGCCTTTGGTATCCAGGGTGCGTTTGGCTTCTATGCTGGAATGAATGCGCTTGCTTTCATCATGATATTCTTGTTTCTGTATGAGACCAAGCAGAGAAGTTTGGAGGAGTTGGATTATGTCTTTGGTGTCCCGATTACGCAGCATGCCAAGTATCAGGCCTTTACGGTTGCCCCGTGGTGGTTCAGACGCTATGTGCTTATGCGGAAGGGTGAGGTTTGTCCGGATCTTTGTAAGTTTGAGCACGAGACATGGACCGAGAGTGATGAGAAGGATAAGCAGGTTGAGGTGGAGACTAAGCATATTGTCTAAAAGCGTTCGTTGGGACTTGGTAAGGTGTGAGGGACGGGAGAAAATTGGACCCGCTACCCTTATTTCCTGCTTAGACTTTTCTCACGTTGGCTTTCCTTGAGGGAGAGTTGGGGGATTCTTCGAAGAAGGGTTCTTTTGACGTTGGTTCGAGGTTTCTTGAATAAGCCACTGCATGAAAACCCATACGGGTGATCTGTAACGCTTTGGCAATTCTTTTATTTGAAATTGATTGAGTTAATACTAGGCAGTTACTATTAATGAAGTTGTTTTCCTGAAGATCTTTCTTTTTCGTTCTCTTGCTACTTATTAAATCGCCTTGCTGAAATCAAGGAATTTTTAACCTCATATCAAGCTGAATCAATACCTACCGAACTCCTCTGTTATCACGTGAGATCACGTGTGAGTGCAGGGACGTATTTAGATCAGTTCTCACTCGCTTAATTTCTGGGTGCAGGCGCACCATTCTACATAAACTCAAGCTCTCCCACCTACACTCTACAAGATTTATACTATCAAATTAACCATCTTACTTTTACTAAGTCCCTTTATGAGCAGGGAACTCATTACTAAAATCCTCTTTTGTCGTAGCCATGATTCGCATCATATCTGTCGATTTGTACCAAAGTGTCTTTTTTAAATAGCGAAGGGAGAAGCTTTCATACGTAGACTATAGATACAAGTCCTTCTAAGCTACATTATATGAGATTTCACGTTCATAGACCAGGACTAATAGAGAGAAACGAGTACAGATAGAACCCCCACTAAAATATATAGTCACACTTTTGACTCTCTTTATCGAATCCTCCCAAACTTCTCAAATAAAACTATGAAAGAAAAGATCACTTAAATCAATACTAAATCTATGAAGCGCCTCGTTAATGCCCGCGACCACAAAAACAACCTCGTCCATCGATACCCACCAACCCTGATGCGACATACAGCTATTGACACTTGTGACAGTGACGTTTCTGATATTAGAACCCAATGGTATTCCTCCACTTATCGAAGCTGCCACGCTTTAGTAGATACTTACTCTACGGTAAACTAAGCGTTTGTGGCTAACGGGTTCAATAGCGAGGGTCAAAAAATAGTTGTCTTTCTTCGTCCGGCACGATCTGGCCATTTTTTGATTGTAGAAGTGGTATGTTGATGTGATAAGTATGTTTGGAGTGAGAGTTAGTGTTTGTTCTTGAAGGAAAGTTGGAAGTTTATGTTTAAGTCTGTGGAGAAAGTATATCAAAGCATACTCGTAAGATACCTGGTCGTTACTCTGTACACACTATATAAACGTTACTATACTACACTTGTAGTACAAGAAATTTATAGTAGTATACCTAGGAAAATAAAAGTAACTAGTAGCAATTATTCTAAACTCTTTATATAATTGTTATAGTTATACGACGCTTTTAGAATGATTCTATTCTAAGAGAGTTGTGTACAGAGTAAAGACCACACTAAGAGAGGTTTGTTGTTCACAAACACCCTCACAGCTTTACATCCAGGTTCCTGGAATCAGTCGTAACTGAACACAGGGTTGATTTTAAGAAACCTGCTTTATGTTTAGCGGAATGTTTTACTATGATCTACAAGTCTAAGCAATTGTAAAAATAACTGTATTTTCTATGACTAGGAGTCTGGGAATAGATGAGGTATAGTCTGTAATACTATCTATTGTGCTAAGAAGCCGATTATCTGTGAGAGTTTTATATTTTAGGTTGTAATGAATTAGCATTGTAATCGCTATAAGGCGTTGTCGGTATAAGTGAATACCACTCAAGGCCACTCACGTGCCGAACTTGGCACTGAGTACTACTATATAATAGTAGTAGTACTTACAACACCTTTACTCGGTGTGTACAACTAATAGTCTTTATAATACGATATATTCGATACTAAACTATTAGCTTTATATTGTACTTTCCTTATTATCTTTTCGGCTCTATTAACTTAGAGTTAAACTAATACTAATTAGTATAAGCGCGTATATAGATTAGATAACTTCGATTCCTTAACGCTAGATATTAAAGCTATTATAGTAGTAGAGGTTCTACCTTTTACTCCTGGGATTTTAATATAAATTTATTAATAGCTAGGCATTTAGAGGTAGAACTAATACTAATATAATAGGTACTTAAAGAGCTCCTAAATTAGCTATTAATATAAATTTATTAAGTCCTAGACCTCGAAAGTACTAGAATTATATACTATAGTAGCTCCTAGATTTATAATACGAATTTATTATAATCTATATACTCTAAACTATAAGATCTAGAATAGCTATTAATATAAATTTATTATAATCTATATACTCTAAACTATAAGATCTAGAATAGCTATTAATATAAATTTATTAAGTCTAGATATATTAAAAGATAGTATATTTACTATAGCTAAATATTAAGGTATTAAGTATAAAACTCCTATTAATACTTTACCTTATAACCTTTATAATACCTAGTTCTACTTTTATTAGTTCTATTATAAAACTAATACTAAGAACTACTTCAAATTTGACTTTAAAATATAGTTCTATATTTACTTATTCTATTATAAAATAGGTACTAATACTACTACTAAACCCTTTATTATAAATAATTAATAATACTACTAAGTTAACCTTCGAGAATATTATTATATTTACTTTTTCTAGAAGTAGAATACTTCTTAAAAATAATAACTAAATATCTATTAAAATAATAAGTATTTACTTTAAATATAACTCTACTTAGTAGTTCTAGCCTATACTACTTAGTAACTCTAGCCTAGGACGACCGGAAAGTACTATACTATAACTTACTACTAGGACCTAATAGGAGTAACTATAATTTTAACTTTCGCTTATAGTTATACTAAAAATAATAATTAATATAGTAAATAATAGAAAGTATAAGAAGGGCCTAGTAGATCTTTCTAACTAGAACCCTAAACCTAATCTACCTAATAGTAATAATAAAGAATTTAATAGAGAATCGGATTATTAAAGAGAGAGTTCTACCTAATGTCACGGATGCCAACAAAGGATAAAGTGTATACAGCTTTTGAATCAATTGCTAGAACTAAAACCGTAGGTACGAAGAAATCAAACTAAAGAGAGAAGAGAATCTGAAAGGAGCGAAGTTATTTAAGTTGTTCCAATGCCAAGTCTCGTCACGTGCTTGGCCAAGCGAATGAAATCCTGTCAAATGAAATCCAGCTCCGTCACATAATTAGTATTTAAATAGAGAGTCTATTAAAAGTCTTTCCTACTATACTTAAGAGAGACGTATCTATATATTATTATACCTAGGTTATAAAGTTAGATTTACTATTTATAGATACTATATAAGTAATATAGACGTATTTTAAGAATAGAAACTATTACTAATATATATAAGATAAATAGAATAAATATACGCTTAATTATCTTAAAAACAAGTACTCTAATAAATCTCTTACTACTTATTTTAATATAATACTTACTAAGTTATAAGATCTTTATACTAGTCTTTTAGATAATCTATAAGTTAATAAGTACTTTTATAAAAGTATTATTTACTATTACTATAGAATTCTAGAGCAAAAAACAACCTTTTTTCGAGATCAAATTTTTTGTTCTAAATCACTTGCTCTCACTTGCTTGTACTAAACAAGCCGATTACCCTCCATGGAGACCCCTCTAAGGAGGCCTCCGGCCTTACTGTCGCCTCTGAAAAGAGGTCCGGATAGGGGAGGAGCACGCCCAATTCCCCCCCTCCCGAATATACAACAACACTTCGTCCTAGCAACTGCCAAAGCCCTTGAACGTAGTTCTTTAGGCCAAACCTTCTTCGGAGGAACCGCAGAAGCTGTAGATTGCCACCTAAGCACTGTACTCGACAAAGCCCCCCCC